TGTATATTCTGTTAGAGCAGAGTGTTACCTATTTTGGGTGTGGGTATGGGTGTAGGTGTGAGGCAATAAAGATAACAACACCCACACCCACACATTTATAAATATTAATCACTGATGTTGTTAAATTGGCCACTGCATTTTTTTATTGGCTTGCCTATTGGATTGATTAATGCAGTGATGGTAGCCAGATTGGGTACAAGTTGAATAAAAAGAAATGGTAGATTGATTTGCCAATTAAATTCAATGAAGATCATTTCCATTGTCAAGATACTATACTCCATGGAAATATATACCATCAAGAAGAAGTTCATTTTATTTCTTGAAGCATAATTTTTGTCAAATATCTCTTCCATGGTAACCATCTATTGCAAATATCGTTCTCGATCCTGTTTTTGAGATTGAAGAACTTTGATCGACGGTGTAGATGATGAAAAACTATCAAACATATTTTTTTCGCTTTGATGTAACCGTTGATTAAGTTAAATTTGACCCCTCGATAAACACTCAGATGGATAGGTAGACAACGAGTAAGAGAAATGAGAAAAAGTCATAAATAGAGAAGACATGATTTGAGTTTCTCTCAATCACGATCATGGAACGTGGCATTAAGAACAAAATAGAAACATGCAACATATGGTTTCATTTGCATTGAATCGAGATAAATCAATAGGGGCTCTTTGAATGAAAGATCATGGCAGGGGCTTGAGAGTCTTAGTTAGTTATATACACCTTTTGCTGTATATTCAATAAAATATAGAGAAGTAACTTAGCAGCTTGTTCTAGTGAAACAAGCGGCATATTCTAATATCCATCTATAGCCACAAGTGTTTCCAACGGCTCTTCTGCAATATCCAAGAAATGATAATTTTATTTTGTTTTTTTTTACTGTCTAAGTACGAGAAGGCCATTGAGCCCATGCTGACCTTTTTTTAGCGACCGCGATCGCATTGTGGCCTGTAATTGGGAAAAATTGCGACGCAATTTTTCGCAGTTACAAGTCATAGTGCAATCAGAGTTACGGCGTAACTGCGCCGCAGTGGCTAAAAAATGGGCGACATGGGAGATACCTTCACGCTTTTAAATAGTGATTGAATTTCGTGAAGGACTGTTTTCAGAAAATGAAAAGATGAATATATGATAATTGTTGAATTTTTTTACCCTACAACGAAAAATAACGAAATACCTCTTACTGGCTCTTTGCTAATATGTAACCTATTTTATTTTGAGTTTATTTGAGTCTTATCAAACAGACGTGAGCACGTCATCGCAGAAGAGAGAGGCAACGAACAGAGATATGCATGTTACCATCGAGCACAAAAATGTGTCTTTTTTTGAGTAAATAATGGGTGCACCAGGATAAATGTTCCTCTCAATATTTTGTGAATCCCTCTTTCAAATCGTGACGGATATATTTCACTTTTTTTTTCAAAAGATAGCCCATGCAAATCTCTACAAAATCTTATGAAGAGAACTTTTCCTACGAATAGCTTGTGGGGTGTGGGTGTAGTTCTTCTGTTTGTTACGCCTACAGTCGCATTCATACACCTACTCTTTCAGCCATTGAAGCATCTGAATTAATACACATGCATCAGATAGTGAACGTTCTTATGAATGCCCTCCAACGCCTTGAGACTATGGCTTACATCACCCATCATTATCCTCACTTTACTATTGTCCATCTCCTGCTTTGATTCGGTCTATTTCTATTAAATATTTCTTGCAATCTCTTACATTCTAATTTACTTACAAATTTACATCTACAGACATCGTATTGCTTCGGTTTTTCTTTTATCATACTATTAGATTATCGATTCTTGTTTTCAATTTATTGGATGATTCTGTTTCTCTTATTATTCTCTCCCTATCAGCATTGCTATAAATTTTTTTCACTCTCTTCTTACTTTTGTATTTTCGAATGTGTGTAGACCCATACTTTCGTCGATGGGAAGGCATGTTACAGGCATACATCTTATTTACCTCCATACATTTCGTTCTTATCGGCAGCTGTTTTATTCTGTTCACATTCTTTGATTTTTTTTTAATCACAGTATTTTTCTTGGGCCATGTCATTCGAAGAGAAAACGAGCATAGAAAGGGAGTAAAAAGGAATCTTCTAACATTCATCGAAAATCGCAGTAACTACTCCGTGAATATACAGATTCCAAGGCGGGAAAAATTCATTCGGACATTCCGGACCATTCTGATTCATTCCAAGCCATTCTGAAACGTTCGTATCTACATTCAATTTTTATGAATTATCGTATTAGCGCTTTAAAGCTGATTAATGCCATAAGTTTATAGTTTTTCATCGAAATTGATATAGATAAAGGTTGAACTTAATCAGCGCGTATTCCATAAGTAGCAATATTCAACAGTGAGAATCAATAGATTTTCTTTATTTAGAAGCCGTACGATGCACAAATTCACATATATCAGATATTAATATAAAATAAAGAGATATTATTCGAACATTCCGAATAGATGGTGGTGTCCCAGGCGTGAAGGGAGTGACTCCTGGATCCTAAGAAATATTTTGTTTTTTTTTGCAGCAGGTTCCCTGCATTTTATTGGTCTTTGGCCATCTATACTCATAAAAATGCGCAGCTCCTTTTCAAGTCAGGCTAATTATGATACGAATTTTAAAATCGGTCTCGTAAATCATAGAAGTTTTTCACTCCCTTTCCCCTCCCAACCGTAGCAGCCTCAGGAGACTCATAATTCTAGGTTATTCTAAACCCGACTCATTTATTGAGACGTAATTATTCCTTTTTCACAATATTGAAATAGCCTTCAAGAATAAAAATATATACACATTTCATGTCGATAATACTGAGTAGGAAGTATAGGTTATTTAAAATAAATTATTCTTAGTCTTTTTCGGATTGAAATATGACTATAATCGAACAAAAGATATAGACTCTTAACAACTAAGGGAGCCAGCTGTGAATTATCTCAGATCGTCCTTTTCCATTT